AAAGGATGATATGGATTGATTTTAACGGTGATTGTAATCAACAAATAATTAATGATCTTGGAGAATACTTTGACATTCACAGTTTGGTCCTGAAAGATATAATAAAACCTAAACAACGTACAAAACTTGATCGATTCGATGAAGATGATGCAAAATTTATCGTGTGCCAACTAATGTATGGTGATCCGGAATTAGACAATCTCTCTATTGAAAAAATTAGTTTCTATGTAGAAGAAAATCTTTTAATAACATTTCAAGAAAGGCGAACGAATTTATTTGACACAATTAAAGAATACATTTGTAAAAGAGAAGTAGAAGACACAATTCTAGTGTCAGAAATCGATTATATATTTTATTTGTTGCTCGATATTATTGTCGATCAGCACGAGATAGCTCTTGATGTACTAACAAGGAGACTTGCACCTTATCACAATCAGTTAGTAAGAGTATTGAGAAGCGACACTCTGAAACAAATCTACAATCTGAAACAAGGTCTTATCTATTTACAAGATATGATTTTGTCATTAGAAACAATCATTATGACGTTGCAGACGGAGGAAAAACCTCATATAACAATAACACAGCCACCAAATACTTATTTCAAACACCTATTCAATCGCGTAGTGCAACTCAAAAATTCTATCCACGTTTCACGAGAAATATTGGTTTCTTTCTTTGAAGTTAATACAATGTACTTAAATACAGTGGTCAAGGAATTAGCTATTATTTCGACAATCATTCTTGTGCCCGCTATTATATCTGGAATTTTTGGAATGAATTTCGATAATATGTATGTATTGCGTAGACCTCATCGGCAAAGAATTAGAATTTATTTTCTGTTTCATTTTTCTTTGTTTAACTTTAGACCTCTAACAAAGAACGAAAATGGATTTTACATCATTCTAGGAAGTATAGTGGGACTTATACCATTTGTATTGGCTATTTTTTGGTGGTACTTTTGGCTTTAATTTTATAAGCAAATTTATTCTCATGATTAACAATCTTTTTAACCACGACAATATGAAAAAGAATTTATTTTTAATGGCGAGAATATGAAATAAAATTTATTCAAAATTATTTAAACTCTTATTTTAAAGTTCATCGCAATTCGGGTTAAATAAACTTCGATATCGTGAATAGTGTACAATAGTGTGTTTGTTTTTAAACATGCATCTAGATCTGCCTATACTTTTTTCTTTTTTTTTGAAAGTGCACCAGCACCCAGTCATTCAATATCCCCCTCAAATCTAGAGTTTCTCTGTGTTGAGTAAGAAAAAGAACGGCCACCTAACAGGCTGTTTAAAGTAATTAACAGAGAGAAAAGAACTATATTTACTCAGTACTATGAATTATTCTCGCTGTACCAATAAAAAAAAGAATAATTTATAGGAGAGAATGAAGAAAAAAGATAGACAAATAAATGATTTCGAGACATATTAACACAATATGAAACAGATCAGTGTGTTAATATGAAAAGAAAATACTTCTTAACTTAACTCAATTTAATTGAATGAGATGAAAGGAGTGTATATATAGTGTCATCAACGGGATGCACAATGAAAAGGTAAGACATAATATATTGTATTTACGTAACACCCAAAGTCACATCCTCACCCTTTGTACTACTAGCGGATGATCATTTGTGTTATGCTGCTGACATACAAACACCGATGAATATCACTTTTCAGACTCTATTCTTACAAGCTAGGAAATAAGATATAGTGTACAATGATAAAGAGGAATACATATGTTTGTAATTTTCCAATTATTGTGTAAAATTTCAAGAAAAAATAGAATCAAATAAAAGCTTTTTGAACAAATAAGAGAGAAAATATTAATATGAAATATGTTTGTAAGATTTTATAGTCTGAGGAATTTTTGGACACGTATGTTACCTGAATCGGTAACATACATATTCATTTCTGCATCGAATTCTACACCTCTTGGTCCATTGAGTTCCGTTGTACTATTACCCGCAATGCCAGTACCAGCAACCGTGATAGCAGTTTGATTGTTAGCACAAAAAAGTTGTACTCTATGATTACCACTATCAACAACATACATATTTAAATATTTGTCAAGTTTAATACCTCTCGGCTGATTTAAGAGAGTCGAATTGGAACCTGCGACACCTGGTACACCGGCGACGAAGAAACCTGAAGAAGCACCAGGTATCCACCGTATTATTGAGTGGCCAAGCAAGTTTGATATAAATAACGTATCACTTATAGATGGCAAATAATCGATACCACCTGGCCCGTTCAATGATGTGTTCGAATTATTACCTACGTCTCCGCCAGCTACAAGAGATCCATTATTGCCTGTGGTTGAATTCGTCAAATATTTCATAGTACGATTATTGCCATAATCATTGACATAGAAATATGTGTCTGTTGAATCAAAAGTAAAACGTGCTGGACTATTCAACAGATTTAATTCAAATCCTGGTGTACCACTTAAACCAGCAACCGTAATTCCATCTGCTGATCCGTTGATATATTTTTGTATGCGATGATTTAAAAAATCGGATACATACATGTTACCATATTTATCAACATAAACGTCTTGAGGAGAGTTCAACTGAGTACTGTTCGATCCGGGTAACTGACTAATTCCAACTGCAATTGTTGCATTTGTAGTATTATTCAATAATTTCCATACGACACCAGCATCTGTTACATATAACGTATTATTTGAGTCAATGTATAGACCTCGAGCAGATGTTATTTGTGATGAATCGAGTATAGTGATTCCTGTTGTATTCCAAAGTAAATTACCAGGTATACCTGATAACAATACAAATTAGAAAATTAACAATATGTTGTTCATTATCTTATATCAAAATTGATGTCATAGTTTGGATACATTGAGATCTGATCTTGACATATACATCTTGATGTATCCTCGTGTTTCTCATATATGTAGCATAGGAGCATAGTCAGCACTGAGACTACTGATGTAGTGAAAGATGCTCACAACATCTACAGGCACGTGTCCAGAACTTTTTTTTAGAGGAAATGGGACTTGGAGTCATAATGGAGAAAAAATATTTTTTCACTTGCAAAATACTAGTCAACTCGTATTCTCCCCAAGGCATTTAAATCTCTCACGATAGCTGTATTCAGTATTGATCAATCGCTTTTTAAGTCGGGACTTTGCGCATCTTGTAGGCCTCGGTGAAATATGTTTACCGTAAAAGATTAAGTAATAAGTGTGAAACAAATACAATTTAATTTTGATTTTTTTGTTAAAAGACCTATTTACGAAAACAACGATACTTGATAAGGTTTGTGAAAACAAAGAATCCAATTCTATTCATGCATTTTTGAAATTTGTGAAACTTCAGAAGTGCCTTAGAAGAGGGCTATTTTTCAAAACTAACGATCTTTTATAAAGTAACCATCTCGCCATACATATTCTTCGATCAATTTTTAAATGTGATTTTCTAAGGTTAGAGTATTAAACTAGCATGCTACTTTAACTTTACTAACCGTTAACCGTTATTATTACTAACTAACTTATGCCTGTCGCACACTTTTTATTAGTATTATTGGTTAAGTGAAGCTATTTAAGGTTTACGTTAATTCAGTCGTGTAAAAGAAATGGTACATCCTTAGTTTAAGCGACTTGCACTAGAAAATTTTTTTATTTGGTATGATTCTTTAAACTATTTAGAACCTTTGACGGTTTATTATAATAAACGATTGAAATTTTGCTGTGAACAAGCCATCGATCCGAACTCTTTTTACAGTAAACATACTTCACCAAGGTCTACAAGATGCGCTAAATCTCGGCTCAAAACCGATTGATCAGTTCTGTGCATACCCTCGTTAGTACTATTCTATTTAATGTATGGTTGTTTTTCTTTAATCGAACAAACAATTAATAATATATCTGCATGTTATCTTCACTAATTCTCGCTCTACTTTACTTTATAGACTTCATACCCGTCTTCTGTCCTATACTCAGCAGAATATAGCAAACCTGTATACCTCTACATTAGATGTTATGAATGTCGCCGTTTTGAATGCATGTTCCAAAATTATAATGTTAAAGATACCTCACTTTAATCAATTAAAATTTTATTTTCACTTACATGGATTTGCAGTTGTACTAAGTGATGTAGTACTGCTCGTGGTTGTCCGTGATGTAGTACTACTCGTGGTTGTACGTGATGTGGTGCTACTCGTGGTTGTGCGTGATGTGGTGCTACTTGTGGTTGTGGGCGATGTGGTGCTGCTCGTAGTTGTGACCGATGTGGTGCTACTCGTGGTTGTACGGGATGTGGTGCTACTCATGGATGTGCGCGATGTGGTGCTGCTTGTGGTTGTGCGGGATGTGGTGCTGCTCGTGGTTGTACTTGATGTGGTGCTGCTTGTTGTAGTACTGGAAGTAGCGCTGATACTGTGTACATAAAAAGTATATTGAGTTATTTTTAGCAAAAATTCACAGAAAAGTGGAAAATGAAAATGAAATCTTTTTTAATGGTTAGAAAAACTGAACATGTATTATGATTTGAATTATATTCACTCTCCTTTCATTATCACGAATGTTTTATATATGTGATAGTATCTGCAAGTAGGTGCTGGTATTACAACTAGTTTTCATCCCCCCTCCCCAGCCACCCTATACTCACACCCAGTCTTTCAAATCCAATTACTCAAAGGTCCTTATCCATCAACATTCAAGATCAGAAAACACAAAACTTTCTACGTCACGATTGTTAGTTCTCAAGTTTCTAATTGGAAAGTAAATTGCAATTGAAACCTACGTGGATGTTTTTATTGTATTGGTCGTCATAGCTAAAAGAAAATGAATGAATACATTTAGACATTTTGATAAGAAAGAAAAGCAAAGCTTTTATAAAATATGTAAAAATGAGAGTGTGGCTATGAGTATTGAATCCCTGAATGAAAAAGCTATTAGAAAAGTGGTATACATTTGATATGACACTTTAACTTCACTTTAAAAGTTGAAGTAGACTATTTTTCCAGAAAGCTTATTCTCCACTATTGTCAGCACAAAATATAGTGTTGTTCGGAGAATATGAAAGAACAATATCTAATTGGTCTCTTTTATCAAACTTGAATTTATGGCTGTCCATGTTTTTTAAATCTTGGATCTCGTAACAAGTATATAAACGAATTTAATTTTTTTCATATGACTTCCCCTTCAGTCGAAGAAATAGTATTGATAAAAACTGATATAAGATCCCTAATACTGATGCTTGATTAACTTAAGTGAAGTTTTTAATAAAAATACAGAAATGTGCAGAATTCAAGCGCTATCTTTCTAAACTATTAAAATTCTAAAGTAAGGAGTGAAAGATTTTTCTTTTCAACAGCTACAGAAAGCATTCATCATTTCGTCTATCACTTACGCTTTTCTGTTGAAATTGTTAATGTTGTATCAGATATTCTTAGAAATGGTTCGGGTGGGAGCTGCTGACAGGAAAACGATCCATTGATTGTTGCTATAAAATAGCCAGTGTTCGATGAATAGTTGCTAATTAACTGACAAGTGCCATTGTTCGTCATACAGTTCCATCCAACGGCATTATCCATTAGAGCAGCACATGTACATTGAGTGCATGTCATGTTTACAAATATTTTGTTAACATCCACTGTATTGAAAACCATGTTAGAAATGACTCTAATGCTGACCGAGAAGGTCATGTCAACATCAAGCAACAATATTAATAACAAATAGCTACTGATTAAAGAATAAGCTGATCTGCAACAAGCCATCGATTAGAGTTCTTTCCTCACTTCGTCTATTATCGTATGATCTTGAAAAACTTTGATCTGAAACTATAAAAAACTAAAATATTTTACATGTTACAAGATTTTACTGATAAGATCAATAAGGCCAGTTTCTTAGTGACGTTTATCTTTCTATAGAGTGCGGGTATCTACTCCACTAAACCTCACACTTAGATCTACTCAAAACTCATTCATAAAGAAAGTACAAAAACAAATAACATATATATAGATATACTTTGTCAGCTATGGGATCTTACGAAATAAAAATAAATTCACATCACATGATTCAATATTATTATTCATATTTCTCATTTTTTCGACTTTGTTCTAATAAGTATGTTTGAGTCAAAACATATTTATAAAATTGTTCACAGGAATAATGAGAATTCATCCTTATTTTAAATTCAGTATTCGCTAACTCTACATCTGTTTAACTATGATAATCTGACTGAGAAGACTTTCAATTTCACTAACACAGCTGCGATACAAAATTTCGGAAACCTTTCTGACTTTTTTAAAAGATCTGATCATCCTGCGCATAACTAACATTAAAATCCTTTTATAAAATGACTGAAAATAACTGAACTCAAACGTTTAGACTAGCTGCTTGCCTAAAGTATACATGATTTATACTATAAAATACTGAAATGAGAAGAACATTATCAACAAACCTTATAAATATAAAAAAGTGACGCAAAGAAAGTAACGTCGTGACATATATTATATTCTAATGCGATCACCGAGAAAATAAATCTCAAGAATGATTGCTTTTTTCTATTCTTGTTCACATTTATTACTAAGTTTTTCTTTCAATTTGAAAAAATATCAAACTCACTCATGTACTCGAAGAAAGAAAAGTATGGATACTAAATTGCCATTACCGAAAATTTCACAAGAAGCTGTCAATCAAGAAATGTATTTATATCAGTACTCTCTGTTTTTTCAAAAAATAAGGCTCTCTGATCTTTTGTTATATAGCTGATTTAAAATTATGTCGAGACATATCAATAGTAAATTATTCTAATTAGTTTATTGAATAGTTTTTTTGGTTATTTGATTTTTTATAATTGTAATTCTCGTAAAGTTGCCTCGGGAATTTATCTTCAAGTATTTCTATACTTGTTGTTAGTATGTTAATCATTAAATTTTGGTTTGTAACATATACATATATAAATCTATTGATTAACTGAAAAGTTCTTCGAGTTGGATGTTTATTGTTTGAACCAATGCTTCGTTTTTTTCTACATATGAGTAATTGGCTTAATACTTGTGTAGGTATCGATAGAGCAATGACAGTTTTTCAAGGAACTAACTTTAATAAGAAAAGAAGTCGATGTATTGCACGATGGATTGTTTGTCTTTTACCATTTCTTATTTTAAATTCAATGATTTATGAATTTATTCATCGTGATTTGTTTGATGATTATGAAGAACGACGTGTTTGGTGTGTACTTCGTTATTCTCAATCAATTGAAACATATGCTACAGATGTTCAATATTTTCATTTTATTGCTCCGTTTTTAGTGAATTTAATTTCAGCTATTTGTATTATTGTATATATAACTAGTCTAAAAAAGATTATTTGATCTCAGTTTAGTTATCAACAACAATTACACGATCAAATCAATCATCACAAACAACTTGTTATCAGTCCTATTATCTTAGTCATTCTATTATTTCCTTGTTTTCTGATTTCATTATTATCAACATGTATTAAATCATCTCGAAATCCTTGGTTATATCTTTGCGGTTATTTTGTTTCATTCATTCCATCATCTTTTATCTTTATAATATTTGTTTTACCATCGACTTTCTACAGAAAAGAATTCATAAAAACAATTACCAGTTGGAGACAACGATTCATGAGAATGTTGAGACAGTGATACTCTTGCAACGTTAACTAATTTTAAATAAATATTGTTTAGTTGCTTTTAGATAGTTATATATTTATCTATTTCTTCTATAATCTTAATAAAAAGTGAAAATATCGAAAATTAAGACGGATAGCTCCAAATATTATTCTGTACGGAGAATAAAAAAAGCAAACAGTTCAATTTCAGTGAAATATCTGTGTTATTTAAAAAGAAAAATTTGAAAATGAGATATTTAATTATTTCCGAATAAACGCAGGCAAATGGAAAGAAAATAATAGAATAGAACGGAAGATATATTATACTACAGTAAAAGAAAAGAACAAAACACAATAGTAAAACTTTCTTGAATATTTGCGCTTGTAAAATAAAATAAGCTGGTTTAAAAATGTGTTTTTTGTTTAAGAAAAATTCGGTCCTCAACGAGTTAATATCATTGGAACCCCTCTATTACCTTCCACTTTATTGATTTGGACCTTGTTCTGTTTTTCCCTTTTTCATGTTCTTATATTTTCTTTAGCTATTTTTAAGAAGCAACTTTTGTAACTATTTCTGTATGGCCTCACCGACAGTTGTTGAAAACTCAACTAAAACGAGCATCGCATCATGGTTTATTCCTCTCGATATTATCGTAATTATCTCCGATGTTTCATCTGTTATACTTGCAATATTATTTTTAATTATAATTATTCGGGATAGAACATGTCGAACAGTTCCAATGATGCTCGTTGGTAATTCGTGCATTGCTACACTGATGTTCGGAAGTGCTATGCTGAATATGACTTCGATTACTCTTGGAAAGGATCTCAAACAGATTTACTCTCATGATTCATTTTGTGTTATTGCAGCATATCTAGTTCATGTTACATGTGCTGCACAGAATTATTCTTTTATGTTACAAGCCATTTACCGATATTTATTGATTCTTCATCCGACTCGTTTTTTCTGGCACTCATTTCGAATTCAAATATTATTTATTTGTATATCATGGCTTTGGGTTTTTGTCTTTCCAATGGAATATTTATTCACTGGTCAAATCGTTTATGATGTTAACAATCAAGTATGTGAATTGCTTCCTAGATTGTCCTTCTCAGCCATTTATATGATATTTTGTGTCTTTGCAATTCCTGTCTCAATGATTATGTTTATTTATTTTA